TTGACAGAAATTGTGTAAAAAAACAAACAAACAAAAAAGCATCAACATTGCTAGCACTGTTTTACAGCAGTATACCCACCTGGTGATGAAGGCTTCAGAGATCCTGGTGTCATTGGGTGAACCGATGTCTTTTCCTGAGCATTTATCCTCCCCAGCATGGCCACTGCTGGCCTCGCTGTCAGCCTTCTGACTCAGAGTGTCTGAGAAGTTGTCATCTCTGGGACACAGAGACAGTGTGACATTGAGACATGAAAAGAGCAAGAAGTGACAGACAAACCAACAGTAAAAAAAAAAAAAGGGACAAATCAGCAAATCAGTCAATCTTTTATATTTGTTCAGTTCTTCAGTATCAGTATTTTCCATCCGTTTCCTGAGAGTCAGCATGTGTCACCCCCACCCCCGCCCCACAAGGTCTACGGAGTCCGATGAGTCATAGTCCCGAACCTCTCAGCATTCTGGTGATGCGCTGTGTCGGTGACACGCACAAACACTCACACACAAACCAGCTGCATGAGTTTCAGCGAGCTGTGTCACTGGATACTCGGTACAGTTGGTGCCTGTCAGGTGGCAGTAATCAGACCTACTGAGCTGCACTGTTGCCTCTGATGGCATCATCAAACACAGTCACTTATTTAGCAAATCCACATGAACGCACAGGGTCACAGCACAGACGAGCACTCCTCCAAAGCAGACGCAGCTACCAACAAAAATCACAAACGAATTTTCACAGTCAAATGTTGACAGGTGACATCTTGTGCCAAAGCACTTTGGGAAACATCTCCCTGTATATTTTATTTTTCACAGGACGAGTGAAGATTGCAATCTTGCGCTCTTACATTCCTCTGCCTGCTCGCTTTAAGTAGAGACCAGGACTTTACTTCCTTGGGAACAACGTGTACAGCTGTAAATTTCTGTGCTCTTTCATTAACTAAGATGACACCCCATCAGCAGTGCTCCCTCCTAGTGAATTATTGATAGGGGTCCTTTGACGGGACAACAGCAGCAGGGGAAGGAGGAAAACAGAAAGAGCGTGAAGGCATTTCAAATGACTGTTTTGCCAGCCAGCTACTAAGTGATTGGAGTGATTCTGTTCCAGTCCTAACGAGACAGTGACTTCAGTCCATTAGGCACCAACAGTTGCTATGGCAGAGTGCATGCTTGTTAGTGCTGAGAGCACGAGACAGTGACAGAAGGCTTGGTTAAGGACCCTGGAGATGCAGAAAGCTCCACAGCTGAGCAGGGATGACAGTGGAGGACAAGACAAATGAGCCCGAAGGTCCCCTGTGCGTGACCCTATAGTAACCTGACGGCCTAGCAGCCTTTTTGTGGAGCAAAGTCAACAAGGACAAGTGTGTTGTTTAACCCACAGGGATATTTTGCTAAGGACTTTAGCTCTCAGACTCTAAGTGGATCCGGCACTAGTTAAGCAGCCTTTGGTATAATAATTAAGCGAGGACAGGTCAGAAACTACTCCTTCGTCTTCCACCTAAAGAATTCCATTTAATTGTATAATTAAAAATATATAAAAATTACATTTTGCCAAAGGATCCCCACA